CGGCTACAAAAACAACAAAAACTAAAGTGCTTTATTTATTTCAGCTTTGACCCAAAGCTCCAGTAGAATTTGAATATAGCCTTGCAACTGTAATATTATATCCAGAAACGGAACTACACCACTGTTTCCTAAATAGGCGAAATGGGCAACAACTTCAACTATTAAGCCCGCACATTAAGGTAAAATCTTCTATAAGAGTGGTCTCAACAACCGCGCCGTAAGTTCTGATTTCTTCGGCGTGGGATATTGGTCTGGCAGTGAACGAGGACAAGACGGAATATCTCCCGTCATCAAACAAACAGTCATCGCATCTTGGAACCGGTCTTGACACCAACAACAATGTCAGCCTGGAAGTACAACGCAGAAACACTTTTGCACTCACAGGTGCTACTATGGACTGAGTAGGCAATTGAAAAGTAAAGTTCCTCATCGTTCCCGTCCTACTATATAAGCGGAGACCTGGGCGACGAAAACATCTGATAAGTCGCTGTTTGGTGTTATCGAGAGAAAGCTTTTGTGTAAATCTATGGTCTGCGAGTTAGGAACGGTGAATACCGCAGCCGAGGAAATGATGAGCTGTACGTGATATACGGCGGCATTGACATACTTCAGCTAGGTGATGTGGTCCGGATGGATAACAATACTCCAGCTTTGAAAGTTTTCGATGCAGTACTCGCCGGGTAGGGAAGGATCTGGCTCTACTTGGTATCTTCAATTGGCGCCAAACAGCAAAAAAAAAGAAATGAATTGCGCAATGTTGTTAACTCGACTATAATCTCGTAAGCGGTGTCTACGCCAGTAAAGAGGAAGAAAATTTATTCTGGGAACTTCAAAAAAGGACTTGTTAGGGACACATTCCATCTAGTAGTTGATGGTCTCTGAGGAATAGCAGGGCTCGGTCGCCTAATGTTTGGGATCTCGGCGTTGACTTTGGTTTCAGACTTCCAGTCCGGGAAAATGTAAAAATCGTAACCATTCTGTGCCCGTTTTTCGGCCTACCCTAATGTATTTATATTGAGAAAAAGCAATAAACACTTTATTTATAATTGCTGAAATTGCATAAATTGCTGCACATTCACAATAAACTGTTACTTTTCTTTCTTCTTCTTCTTCTTTATTTGTAATCGCCGTTAACCAAGTATGAGTGTAATGACAACATTTACAGCGCTAACAATGCAAATTTACTTTGCATATACTAAATAATATTTAATTAACATTTATTTTTTATTTTTCACGTAGATATGTACAGCTACCTGCGAGTTGTTGTTGTTGCTGTGCAACGCGTACAAAAATTAGCTTAATTAACTTTTATTCACTTAAAGCGCATTTTCCGCTGACTTAACGCCAGGCCGCGCCGCGCCGCGCCGCATGATGCACATGCTGGCAGTGGAAAATAAACACGCCAACTTGCAACAAAGTGCCACCTCATACTTACTTATTATATTATATACTATATGTATATGTATATGTACATCACTTACTAGCTACTTTCTCGCACAACTCAGCTGTACTCGTACACTCAGCTGCTTGTTGTTGGCTTGTTGGCGTTAACGACTGCAACGTTGTTGTGTGATTTTTATTGCCACTAACGCAATTTGGTTGTTGCTCTTGTTATTGTGTTTAAATGGACGCGCGGGTGCGCCCAGCTGCGTGATGTGCTGATAAAAGAAGAGCTCACTGATGCAAGTACACCATATTTGGTGTTGTTGTTGTTGGTGTTTTTTTTTTTAAAAGAGTATAGCCACTTTTACTGCATTCGTATTTGTTGTGGTGCAGCAAGAAAATAAAGTCAAAGTCATGTTAGTCGCTCAGTTTCTATATTAATGGCCACCACTTTTACTTTCCATTTACACGAAGACCATTATCAAGCTGCTTAACTCTCCATTTATGCTATAATTTGTGCCATTAAATTGAGTAAAAGTGGAGCAATTTTGAAAATTTGAACTTTTGAAGTCTGTGTAAATCATGCTGGAAGCTCAAGTACCGAACAGAGGAACATTAAAAATGTGCTTTGAGCGAAGAATTGCAAAGACAGCCGTCAAGAACGCCTTAAAGGTCGAGTAAGCGAACATCACAGTAGAAAGAACTAATGGTTTAATGAGGTAGTTGCTTTTGTTGAAGCGACAGCGATTTTACTCAAGATAAAATGAGCCCTGTTGAGAAGTCTTAATTTCCAAAAATTCATTGTCTCTCTATGAAAACACTTTGATTCGTTGATGAACCATCTTAGATCAATTATCCTGACGTTAGCTATCTTGGATGGACCACTAGTACCGAATAGTACAGTGCAGTAGCATTTAAGGTACTCATCTCATTTCTCTTCATCAATTTGGCTGCTCCCGCTCATGAGCTCTCAGTTTTCCTGTATGACTTCCTATCGGACAGCAGCCTATTTCCAGAACTCCTATTACCCTGAATATGTACTTTATCTTTTAAATTTAAATTTTCGACCACTCTTTGCAGCGGTTGGGGCCGTATGTCAGCAAAATAATCCAGCATACATTTAGACCAGAAAGTTTCCAGAAATTGTTTTTTTCGATATTCGCTGAATTCGTTCCAACGGGACAGACGGTCAATAAAAAGTATTATTTAAGCTTTTTGAGTCATTTGCGGGAAAACATCCGTCGTAAACGACCGTTGTGGGCCAAAGATTTCCAGAAACTTTCCCGAGCTGCAGTTATGAACAATTTTAAGTCCAAAAACTCGTTCAATACCATCGTATTCACCGGATTTGGTCCCATGCGACTTTTTTGTTTCCAAAACTCAAGAAACCCGCTTCGACTCGATCGAGGCCGCAAAAGGAAATTCGCAGAGGGAACTGAGGTCGACTGATTTCAACAACAAATCGAACACGATAAATTTGTTAATCATGGTTGTATAGCGTTCCCCATTGAATGTAAAATGATGGTTGGCTTCATTTTTGAAGAAATATGGACCAACGATTCCCTCTTCCAATCGAACAAACCAAACATGTGGTATGAACCGATCCATGGTTGCCCGAATGACCGACTCTGCTGGGCGATTACGTTGACTGAGTATTGAACGAACAATTATTTTGGTAATAAATTGGCACGACTTGCCAACTTTGATCGAGAACAATGCGTTCTTTATCGACGAGAATCCGCTTGGTCATACCTTGCTTAACAAGGCTAAGGTTGACGATACACCACTACTCCACCTAGAAGAATTTTTCAATGATAAACCTTCCCCAGCCTATACCCAGACCCGATTAGAGGCGGCCGAGTGGAAAAGATAATATCAAAGAAAGGTGCTCTCTACATTTATTTTGAGCAGGACCCTAGCAGAAGATAAGTTTACCACATCTAGATTGTGATTGTGACTCGTAATAAAGTAAGGCAGGCTTGTAACTTTTTTTTCGCTTTGTCAGCAATTGCCACATCGTCGGTGCTGCATTCCGCTGGTTTTGTATGAATGAATGTTTTCTTTATTTTTGCCGGAACAAAAATGGAATGTGTCTTAACAGAAGTGATGAATTCCAATACGGGCAGATAATATATATTTAGTTCAGTCTGTGTATGAGATCAGTGAGATCTCGTCTGTACAATCATTGAGTAAGCTTCAAGGACTGGTGGGATGTCTGTAATTTATTTTGATTCATGATGTTTTACCGGCGATTAGCGAGGAATAAGTGCTTCTTCGTCTTAATTTAAGTAGTCGCCATTCATGTGATAATAGCCCAGCTACCAAAAGAACGCTACTCATTTCTTTTTACGCTCTTTAGTGCCGATCGGAAATCCCAAGCTCAATTAGGTATTTACTCATCCGATTCTTTGGAGTGTCGACATTTTCCTTTCTCTGTTTCCTTTTTTGGCTACAAAAATAAAAGTTCCATTCATTCACAGTACTCACTGTTCCATTGTCTATGGTATTCAACATCGCCAATACGCAGAGCACCAAAAACTTTCCGCAAACCTTTTTCCTCCAAGGCTACTAAAGCCGGCTACTCGAATGTTTATCAACATCCACGGTTTTGCATCACAGGAAATGAGCGACTTGATGGTCTATGCGTTAAATTTCAAGGCTGGCATTGTTTTTGATGTCGACTCTGGTTCCTAAATAGACGAAATTATCTACCTGCCGAAAGGAACATGGATGCTAAATAACAAACGCGCTGAGTTTCACTTCATTCCTTACCAGATTCCATTCACCCTGCTTTCTTATCCAGTCTGGAGAAAGCAGTGCTTACCGCGCCAATGATATCAATGTCAACCTTGCGTCCATGTCGCTTACCCTGGAAGCGATTATTCGATAAGTTTATGGTTGGTTGAATGGAAAGGATGAGGACCTGAACGCCCCTAAGACATTGAGCAGAATCGTATTTATGATTTGCTTAGTTTCATCCAAACTTGCATGTCCACATCCATAAGGTTAGAGCTGGGAGCATTGTGAATGTTGTGACAACTCATTCTTACTTTAGCGTTCGTGGATGCGATTACTGAATGGTTAGCATTGTGTACTGCCAACCAACATCCAAAAGAAGAAAATATGAAATTAATCTAATTTTTCTAATTACGGTCGCCCCTCGGCGGAGAATTTCAACCCTCCGTGTGTATTTAAAACATCCTCATAAAAATCCATCAGTCGTTCGGTGGCGGCTTTGTATAAACTGTAGGTCCCTCCATTTGTTGAAAAAACACCAAAATTAGAGGAAGACTTCGGCCGAAAATCGCTTCAGCGGTTACAAAGCGCCAATTGCAGTCGGGGCGTCACGTCCAACTCACTTCCTTTTCTAACACGAGTTTGGGATTGGCTATAACGGAGTGGAATTTTCGATTAACCGTAGCTCGAGAGCCATTATTTTTACGAGAAGCAGCTGGGTTTATTGAAATTTTAAAGTAAAAAACAAATATAGATATCGTATAGTATGTATAGACATAGGTATAGACATGTCTACACACTTACATACATGTGTACATTTTTAATTTTCCTTACCAACGAAAGTGTCTCATTCCATTTCTCTTTACATTTTTTTTAATTTCAGTTGTGAAAACCAGCAAAAAAACATACAAAATGAAGAGTGAAACTGTAGCAATAACGCCAAACGCCAATTCCACACCTACGCCAACATCTCCAAGCGAAATACAAACAACAACCAAAGACACGACAGCAACACGCCCAAAACTTGAAGGTTATGAGTTTTACCGCAAAGTCCTTGGATCACCTCAATATGTGGTAGGTGGATAAGAAAAGTATACTTTATTATACTTTATTAAATACACACACACACACACACACATACACAAATGCTTGCTAAAAATGAAAAGTAAATTTTTCTTTTTTATCTTCACATCTGTTCGTAGGTGGCGCCCATGGTGGATCAAAGTGAATTGGCTTGGCGTATGTTTTGCCGCAAATATGGCGCCCAATTGTGCTACTCACCCATGTTTCACAGCAATTTGTTTGCCAAGGATCCCAAATATCGCAAGGATGCATTACAAACATGCGCCGATGATCGACCATTAATCATGCAGGTTTGTTGGCCAAATCTAGATAAGCACAATGGATTTGGCTGTTCTTACGTTATTGATTAAAAGATGATAAACTTTAGTAGGGATTGAAGCTTAATTTTTCTTATGAACAAAATTCATTATTGAAATTGAGTTTCATAGAAAGTATTGCTATAGATTGCTGGAAATGCTAACGATTTATTTGAAAATAAACTTTTAGTGAGAAGTTCAGGCTCCTAATCGGAAAGTACTTCTAAGGTATTTTTCGTAATTAATATGACATCAATAGGTGATGCTTGCAGGTGCATTATGATACCAATCCTGATTACAGTAGAGGATTTCGAATGGACCTCACAAATCGAAGAAAGCTTCTTTACTTCTAGATTGGCGCGATTAAACCATTAAATTACACTGGTCAACGAAATAGTAACGTTTTCTGCCACATGAGGACTTCTATCAAATTTTGATTGCATTAAGGCCACCAAACAATAATATATTAATACAAAAATATGTTTTATTGCGACATCAAAAGATCTATTTCTATGAAGGTTACAAAAATTTACAATTAGAAAATTAGGATTTGAATTTTTGTAAGTGGCTCATAAGACTGCAATAATACTCTGCTAGCATTACTTGCCTCGATTTCTTGTTAACGCTTTTCCATTGAAGCAGCAGTCTCCTTTAATTAATTAATTTTAATTTTTTCCTTAAGTCCATTCTAAAACTATCCAAGATGTGTGTTTAAAAAATTCAGTGACCAATTCGACATATTTTAGAAGCCAGAGCAGTTGGCCAAACGCTAATTAGGTTCGAATGCTCGGGCAGAACTTTGAAGCGCCTTTTCTCGAAGTTTCATTTTTACAAGTTTCAAAAAACGTTGCTGGTGATAGCAGAAAGAATATATGTATGTTCTATCGAAAAAAAGAACTAAGTGATCTAGTTTTAGTTTTAAATTATCTTCTATTTAAACTAAAAAAGTTAGACAAAAGTGTTATTTAAACAATTTCTTTTATAAACCTGAAGTGAGTTTTTGTTTTCAAACTGCGATAAAATTTCGAATTCTCCAACTTCTTCGATATTTTTTTAGTTAATATAGAAAGAAATTCATAGAAATTAAAAAAAAAAAAAATGGGTTTAGATACATCGCACGACCTCAATCACCGGCATCGTTTCGCGAGTTCAGCATTGCAGTCGCTTCAGAAAACTCATCGCAGCAATAAAAAATTCCAATATTTTTTGATACTAAAAATTGTTTTTTGAAGCTTAAATAGAGTACATTGTTGTCTGAAAGTTTCGTTTACCGCAATAATTTCTTTCCCTTTCAAAAAAGTGGCTGAACAACGTTTTTGCGTCTTCTATAGGAGACCTTAAGGAAATGTGAGCTCTTTTAATTATTCTGAATGACTTTCATTGCAGGTAGGCAGTTTTCCTTCAAAAATCTTATTCTTTAATATATATAAATATATATATATATATGTATATGTATATAACTGGCGCTTTGGGGACCTACAGTTTATACTAAGTCGCCTCCAAACGACTGATGGTTTTATATGAGGAGCTTTATTTCATGTCAGAAATATACTCGGAGGGGTTGATATTCCCTGCCGAGATTGCCTTTCCTATATTAGTAACTGTATTTGCCAGCTTACAAATGTTATTTCTTTAATTTATGCCTCGTAACTTGGGTCGCTACTTTGAGATATCGTATCGTGTTGACTTGGGATAAATTCCTTAATTGAATCCCGTCTCTCTTATCGATTTGGGGGTTTTTGGCACAGGCAGGTCGGCGTTATGCCGAATAGGTCTTTTGGACAAGTTTTTTATTTGAGTTAAACAAAAATAACAATCACACAGGTTAGGTTGCAGTATCTATCGTAGCCATTACACTTAAGCCTGCCTAAGATCCATTGTGATACCACAATAACTAGACCATTAGGCATCGTTAGCCAGCCATTTAAATTAAAAAGATTAAAGTATAACTACTAAACTAAACGGCTGTTATATGACTTTCTGGCTGATTTTTACTGAATCCTGATCCTGAAAACTCTTCCTTGGAGCGGGTAAATCATTTTATTCTCTCAATTTCGATATAGTATAATTCTTACTAACATTTCTAATCGAAAAGAGCTATTGTAATCCTTATTATCTGCTGACCTAAACGGGGTTAGGTCGCCGAAAAGAGTGACAACCCTTGGTTATTTTATATCCGGGTCAATTCCGATGCGTAGAACATGCTGTAGTAAGAATGGCAGGTAGGGCAGGGCGGCAAAGCCAGCGAACAAAGGAGAATCATCTCGGATGATATTTCTCCTCTCCTCACTAGCGAAGTCTCTTGAGGCCTTGCTACTCCCGACTTTCACACATCATATGAGTCCAGCAGCACTCAGATAGTCAATAGCTTCAAGCAAAACAGGCCATGTGTGCAAACTGTAGTAGTAGCACTGTATCGATCACCTTCAACCATTCAGTGCTACGATCGTACATTGAGGAATACTCATTACCGCCTGGGTTGAAGAGGTGGATCATAGGCTAACTGATTGGCGGTCAACCACACTTAGAATTTCGTGGTCAAACAATAAAACTTAAAAAGATTAAAGAAGGCGTTCCGAAGAGTGATGTCCTCTCCCCACTGTCTTTTAACATTCATATTTCGCAGCTTTCTTTTCCATTGTACAGTGGTTCTTCTCATCTCCTATCATTATGGCGGCCGCGGTAGCCGAGAGGGTAGCATTGCGAACTGCCGACTAAGGTTACCTGTAGACCTAAACGGGGTTAGGTCGCCGAAAGGGTGACAGTCCTTGGCCGGATAAAATCCGGGTCAACTCCGGTGCGTAGAACCGGCTGTCGTGAGATCCAGCAACACACACAACAACCGCTGGACAGGACGGCGTATCGACAAGCACTGAACGCCATTCACCAGGAGTCAGTTAACACCTTCATGAACTCCCTTCCAGTGAATGGCGTACTCGGGGAAATACCACCACCCATAGCAGACAACGAGCTCGAGCAGCCTCGAGAGACCCGCGTGACCCTGACACAACTCAGGTCTAGATATTGTAGCAGGTTAAACTCCTACCTATCCAGACTAGACCCCAGCATACCTAACGTATGCCCGGCATGTGGAGAGTCCCCGCACGACACTAACCACCTCTTCACATGCCCCCTCAAACCTACTCATCTAACCCCCCTCTCCCTTTGGTCCAACCCCGTCGAAACAGCTCGTTTCCTGGGCCTACCTTTAGATGACCTCGGCGACTTAGACTAATTAAGCCTGTGCCTAAGCGGGGTTAGCGAACCGCTACAACAACAACAACAACAACATTGCGAACTGCCATTCGGAAGACTCGGGTTCAAATCCTGGTGTCGGACTAAGATCCAAAAAGTTATAGAAAATTAATTTAAATAAAAAATTAAGCGGTCGTCCCTCGGCAGGGAATGTCAACTACTCCGAGTGTATTTCGGACATGAAATAAAGGCTCCTCGTAAATAACCAGCCGTTCGGAGGCGGCTTAGTTTAAACTGTAGATCTCTCCATTTGTTGTAAAAACATCAAGACGCAAAACCACAAATCGGAGGAGGAGCTCCGTCGTAAATCGTTTCAGCGGTTACAAAGCTCCAATTATATATATATATATTATATATTCAAAAGTGTACTGCTAACTAGACGATCTTACCCACTTCTACACTGTAAGTCAATTATGACTACACCCAGTAGAATCCAGCTCGAAGTCGATGTGAAAGTCAGTGGCGTGAAAATTCCGACTATAAACAAAAAAAAAAGTTACTTGGAGGCACATTCGACAAAATGCACTCAGCATATGACTACAAAACTCCAGAGGCCGCAACAAAATCCTCATAGCGTTGGCCGACAGCTCTATGCTACTCCGCTCTTTGCGCCGACTAACGAGGCACAGATGCAGAAACTACAAGTCTATCAAAACACCGCCTTGAGCATCGCGACAGGAAATCTCCTGATGTCGCCAGAGCATCATTTGTACGGTAAAGCATATTTGCTATGAGTTGAGCTATTACTGCTGAGATGCTGTCTTAGGGATATTGTAGTAGACTAAACCCCTATTTATATAGACTTGATCCTGCTCGAAAATATCCACATCACCTAAAATCAACTCTGGTCCGAAACCGTCAAAACATCTCGTTTTCTGGACCTCCTAAGGGGTTGGCAAACCGCTATTACTTACCGACAACAACAAAATTGCGATCATTTATTAAGGCCGAGCTTGTCAAATATTAGGAATGAGGACCATTCAAAACAAGAAAATAAAGCTATTATTCCAAGTGCAAGCTAACAATTTCACTACCCATAGCTTTTTTCAAGGACAGAATGAACTGCGTTTCAGCAATTTGGTCTTGACATTGAAAAAAGACAAGTCATTTATTCCGCCTGATTGTTCCGCCAAATTATGTACATTTTTTTTCAATTTCCATTTCAAAAATCATAATTTCAATGATAGTAAACACAATAGAACTCACTCATAAGGCTAACATATATGTATCCGCCATTGGAGAAAAGCTCATTAGCAATATGAGCTTGAACTTGCATAACAACCTTCCGGCCATACCGGGAGGGCAATTAAAATCACTACTTGAAAGCACAGTTTTACATGCATACTCACACACATAGGTATATATGTACATTTAGAAGCATATTTTCTATTTTCCTTGCAGTTCTGTGGCAACGATGCGCCGACGCTGCTGGAGGCCGCACTTTTAGCACAGGACTATTGTGATGCTGTTGACATCAACTTAGGTTGCCCCCAGGCGATTGCTAAGCGCGGCCATTACGGCGCATTTTTGCAAGACGAGTGGGAGTTATTGGCTGAAATCGGTAAGTTCATATTGGTTAAGTAAAAAGTCATCCATTATTTTTTGCCAATAGTTGACTTCAGTGATCTGTATCTCGCATCCCACAAGTGCGATTGGATTACACTAGATGGCGTTAGAAAGGTGATATTATGTATTAAATTCTAATGTAAAAGATGCTCAACGATTATGTCGATAAAATAATAGAAATCTTCGAGTCTGACTGGCGAATGCGAGCTCTCGATTGCATGAAAAACAATTTAGGACCACTTGAAAGACGCTGGATACACAAAAAAGCTCACTGTATGAGAGTCACATGAGTTAACGAAGAAAACCCTCATGGGCCGAATCGCCATCTGCGAGACGCCGCTGAATCGTAAGGAAATCTACCAATTTCTATAAGGCGATTGCTTATGAAAAGTGGGTCACTTACAGCCACGTCAAACAATCGTGGTCGAAGAGCAATGAGTCGGCACAAACGGTCTTCGACACAGGATTGATGGCCAGAAAGATTTTGTTGTGTGTTTGGTAGGATTATCAAGGAATCATCCACTATGAGCTGCTCGCCTGCGACCAAACTCGCAACTCGGACTTGCTGACAATAATGAAACTGTCTGAAGGAAGCAGTCGCCCAGATGTCCTCAGCTTTGACTAACAGAAGGGTAATTGTGTTTCATCAGGACAATGCCAAAACACACACATCAATATTGATTGGCCAGAAGCTCTGAGAACTTGGTTGGGGCCTCGCTCCAAATGCTTACCATCTGGTTCTGTCTATAGCGAATGATTTGGTTGGTGAATTGACGTATAGAAAAGTCTGTGAAAATCAATTTTTTAGGAACAAAAGTTTCTATCGATCAGTTCCTTCTTCACCTGGTTCTTCCAGCGGAATGGAAGTCTTCCAATTACTCAGTTTCCACCGGCGAGTACTGCATCGAAAGCTTTAAAGAGATGGAGTATTCTTATCCATACGGACCACGCGAACTAGCCAGTATAGCCGCTGTCTTTTGATTCGCTGAACTATGTCAATGTTACCGCATATCGTCCATGCCTCCGCACGCGAAAGATGAGCGACTTGTACAATTTGATCTTTTTTCGTCGAGAAAGGACTTTACATTTTAATTGCCTACTCAGTCCAAAGTAGCATCTGTAGGCAAGAGATTATATCTTGGATTTCAAGGCTGACTTTGTTGTTGGTGTTAATGCCAATCAAGCCAAGTCGCAAATGCGACGTACAAGAGTAGGATATAAGTCGCAGGGCTAACTGTAAATGCATACCCATAAGTTTGACTAAACCCCATTAACTATGATAAATCAAACCTTCAATTTAAAGAAAAAAATAATTTATTACTAGTTACTTGACCTATTTTGTATTTTTAATATTTTTTCAGTACACACACTGCACACGAAACTCGCTGTGCCGGTCACATGTAAAATTCGTGTTTTCGAAGATCGGCAACGTACAATTGCGTATGCAAAAATGCTAGAAGCTGCGGGTTGTCAGCTACTTACAGTGCATGGGCGTACGCGCGAGCAAAAGGGACCGCTGACAGGTGTCGCCGATTGGAGTTACATCAAGGAAGTGAGGTAAAAAAGTATTGTGCAACGTCGACTAACTCTTATGATCTGAATTATCATATTTCCAGACAAAATATAAAAATTCCCATGTTCGCGAATGGTAATATTCTTGGCTTGGAGGATATTAAACGTTGCATGGCGGAAACGGGCGTGGATGGCGTAATGACCGCGGAAGGAAATCTACATAATCCAGCCATATTCACTGGAGAGCCCGTAAAAACTTGGGACATGGCAAAGGAGTATTTAGATTTTGTCCAGCAATATCCCTGCCCTACATCCTATATACGTGGACACTTATTCAAAATTTTCCACCATCTGTATGCATGAAATGCTTAACGTCAAGTTGCAAAAATTAATTTTTTAACATTTTTTATTTTATTTTATAAAGAATGAACTTGCGTCCGAATACCGAGTTGCGTGAAGAATTGGCTGTATCAAATAAGCTGGACCACTTTCGTATTGTTGTTGAGAAAATTAAGTGCAAATATGAGCCCTACCATGAAGGCATGGCGGTGTATGATGCTGAGGAGGTGGATCCCAGTGTTTTGGTCGTTGAACAAGGTGTAAGTACTTTTTTTACCCCATATTTTTATGATGGATTGCATAGAGGTGTACTTATCATCTGCTACAACTTAGACGAAATGCTTCATTATTATCTCCCAGCATCTATGATGTAATGGAGATGGTTTGCCTCCGTATATGACTTTATGACTTTCAATTTACCACTACGGCGTCAGTAGCCGCGTTCCCCTTATCGTCTGCTGGTACATCACTGGATCTTGACTTTCTGTTTCTCGTCGGTTTAGCTTTAGAGACCGTGGTTGGGGCATGTGAAACCCGAGCGGCTGGCAGATAAAGCAACGTGTAGTTTCATACCCTGGTAGGTACCACCTGAAGTACATGCAAAGAATAGACGGCTTTTCAGAGCGATTGGTTTCCGTCAACTGCCCATTTTCCGAGACGCTTTTCGGTTGCAAATCAGTTCTTTTGAAGCTTAGGTTAAATAACGACAAACAACTTGAACCTACTTTCAGACATTCAACCACTCTCTTTCCAAGCCTTACACACGGGCTGATATGAACCTCATTTTCTACCACCACCTGAGGAGAGAGAAAGCTTTATGACTGATCGGTTCAAAATAAATAAACGTAAGATCCATACCTCGATAACACACCTGAGGTATCTTATCGTTGAAGGTATTCATACTGAGATTATGATGAATAAGAAACAGCATTGAAAAGGTATTACCGACTCACTTAGACGAGAATACGTTGTCGGAAGCATGACATCCCTTTTCGGATAAGAAAATCCGCGTCACGCCTGTTGGATAACACTAAACACCGCACTGAGTACCGAAACGAAATATCTCCTGGCAATGTCTGTTCACGTTTTACAAAGCGAGACACTTATGCGTCTAATTAAGGAGCGAAATACAATGCTTTAAGTTAATATAGGCTAGAACGTTGTCGCAGAGGTCATATCTGCCGGAACTTGCTTGAAGCACAACAATCTCAAAAACAATCAGTAGGAGAAGCAGTACTGCTCCCGGTCCACCGGTGCTAGGACGCCACAAACAGACAGGGTCTATTCATTATCTCCGAATCAAAGCGACACATATCACTAAAAGATTCGAGCTATCTTCTGAGTTTCGCTTGAGACTAAGATCTAAATTATTATTCAACACTAAAGTCTAACCCTTCCTTGACTTACCTTCACATCGAACATTTCTCTCATTGCTCTGAAATTTTGTAAATAGAACAAGTACTGGATATCCCATTAAATGAGTTTGAAACAATACCGCGATCAATACTTTGACGTTAATTGATGAGCTTCACTAAAAACAAATTCAAAAATGCTAGATCCGTGATGCCTCATTTCCCATATAAGATGAATCAAGTGATGTTTTTTTTTGTTTTACTTCTTTTCAGTGGAATTTATCCTTGCCGCCGTGGCTTTGCCAACCCTACATACGTGTGCCTCCCGAGACGCATAAACAAATTATAGCTGAGAAAGTACGTCTCGCTGAAGACCGGCCGAAACGTCAGTTTTTCGACACCGACGGCAATGAGATATCACGCAAGCGCATGAAGAAGTTACGCCGTCGTCTGCGACGTCCCAATAAATCGGAGGGTAGACATGAACGCAGCTTGGAATGCTGTGATCAGTGTGCCAACCCGGTTGGTATTAAATGTGAATTCCGTTTGTGCCGCACTTGCTGTCGTGAAAAATGCTATACCGAAGATCGCGATTGTCCTGGACACGGCATATTGATTAAATCGCGCCGTGAGAAAGCTAAACAATTTGAAGACCAGGAAGCGAACAAGCATGACTCCGGCGTATCTGATGATGTGGAAGATGTGAGCGTTGGATATGGCGTCAATGCAGATACGATAATGGATTCACACGACATGGAGACAAATACTGTACTCAGTGGGAATAGTTGATTTTTAATTATGAAACTGTACTTACAATTAGCTAATTTTGTTACATACATTTATGTAGCTCATTTAAAAAAATTAAATATTTCTGTAATAAATATTTCTCTAGTAGACTCTACTATGTATATAAATATGTACATATATATATTTAATTATTGTTATATATGGGTGGTTGGATGAGTAGGTTTTATTGGACATAAACCAGCTGGTTGTATGTGTTGAGTATGCTTAAGTGTTTTGACCTTAGTCGGGCCTCGTTAGTTGTTCGTTTTTCGGCGTGAAAGCTGACTGATTCTATGGTTGTTGTTGTTTTTGCAGCGATTCGCTAACCCCGCTTAGGAGTACGCTGGATCAGTATAAGTCATCAAGGTCATCTAAGGGGGGGGAGGGGGGTCTTCCGGAAATCAGCTTCGACGGCTTCGGACCATATGGAAAGGGTTCTTAGACAAATTGGTTTTCGGGAGCATGCAAAGAGGTGGTTATTGTCGTGCCGGTACTCATTGCATGTAGGACATACATTTGGTATGTCGGGATCAAGTCTGGATAGGTAAAAGTGTAGTCTACTATAATGTCCTAATCTTGGATACGCCAACATTATGCCGAACTCTCGAGACAGCTGGAGCTCTTCGTCTGCAGTAGTTGGCGGTTCGACTCCGAGAGCGCCATTCACTGAAAGAGAGTTCAGAAAGGTGAATGGGCTATGATTATCCTCCTTAACTGAGAGCATAGATTTCTGGTTATGTAGATGGTGTTTAGGCGAAAGAAGAGCTCTATCATGGATGTTAAGGAGATGTTTTGACAGGATGGTAATTTCTTCCTCTGCGTCACGCTCGTCTTTGTAGCTTAGTTCAGACCAATAAATCTTGGTTGTTAACAGTAGAATTTTGACATCGTCAACTAATGGCATTCAGGTAAAGTCGGTACTCCTTGGCCTGACTAGTAAAAAGGCTGATATTGTTGAATGCAGCCCTACTATGCGTCATGGGCATTTGAGATTACGAAGACACCCTCTGTTGCTGAAAGCTTCGAAGCATGGAATTTAGAAAACGACCAGATTTTATCGAACCAAGAACTGGCGTTCCTTGAAGACTAACTTACTTACTTTACTGGCGCAGACACCGCTTACGCGATTTTGGCCGATTTAAGAACATTGCGCCATTCGTTCCGTTTTTGTGCTGTTTGGCGCCAATTCGAAATACCAAGTACAGCCAGGTCCTTCTCTACCTGGTCTTTCCAACGGAGTGGAGGTGTCCCTCTTCCTCTGCTTCCACCGGCGTGTACTGCATCGAAAACTTACAAAGCTGGAGAATTCACATCCATCCAGACCACATGACCTAGCCAGCGTCGCTGCTTCTTGATTCGCTGAACTATATCAATGTCGCCGTATAACTCGTACAGCTCATCGTTCCAGCGTCTGCGATATTCGCCGTTGCCAGTGCGCAAAGACCATAAATCTTACACTGTTTGTGTCATGATAGGAGATATTTCGTCTTGTCCTCGTTCACTGCCAGACCCATTCGCCTCGCTTCTCTATCAAGCTTGGAGAAAGCAAAACTTATGGCGCGGTTGTTGAGGCCGATTATTAACTACTTCGGAAAATACTTTTGCGGGGACAATAACAACACAACCTCTTTCCTGATCCTCTTGTTTTATGTACCTACCGACCTGCCGAGTGCCGGAATTCCACAAACATTTTGCTAAGGTCAAAGTAATTGTATTTTATGTTTATAAATGTTTTACATAGTGACTGAAGTAATGGACTTCTTTTCAATTTCGTTTCATATTCTTTGAAAAAAGGAATTGAAAAAATTTTTAAATCTATTAATTACTTAAATTTTTGACTGCAGTATTGATTAAAATTAAATTTATTTCTAATAAATACGATTTGTTGGCCCCAGAATAAAATTATGCAGAGTGGCAACACAGAGATGCACGTGTATGGAACAGCTGATGTTTACATTGGACGCCGAATGTCATTGTTTGCTTGTTTTTAATTTGACCGATACAAATCGGTAATAAACAATTCGATATCAGTACATTAGTATTATTAATCAAATAATGGAACAAACAAAACCATTTTACGATCTGTGTATTCCTTATCAAAAGGACGAAAAGGCGTTGCGGGAAATTATTAAAGAAGCCATAAGTTGTAAGACATTTTGATTTCTTTTTTTGATAATAAAAGTGTAAAAACATAAAAGTAATCTTCCTTTAGTGGGCTACAAAACAATCGCTATAGACCAGGTGTACGATCATAGCAAACGTGATACTACCAAACGTGTTCCTGATATATTTCCAGCACCTGTCACACTGAAACAACTTGAAGAAGAGTTTAAAAGCGATGTTAAAATTTTGCGAAGATTGACAATTATATATCTGGATGTTGGTGTGGCACATGCAATGGTGAGTAAAGCATAAGGGCGAGTGAATATACAATTAATATTATTATTTTTTAGTCAAATTCACAAAACTTAAAGAAGTTTAACCTCATAGCCGGTCAACCGAAAACGGATGCTGCTTTAACAGTAGGTTTTATTGTTTTTTTTACTAAGATTTCTGTATTTAAAAGGTATGTATAAATAACTAATTTAATTTATTCTTAGCACTGTTGTACCACTTTTGGCGGTGATTTAGTTACTTTCGACACTGAAGCTGGGGTCAAGTTGCTGGTGAATCGTAAAGCATATCAAATAGGTGTGAAGAGAGGTTTATATTTCGAGATCAAATATGGTCCAGCGATCAGAGATACTAATATTCGAAAAGATATGATCAAACTTGCACATAATTATTGTGTACGTGGAAAATCCAAAAATTTAATTTTCAGTAGCGGCGCAACAAATCCTTTTGAGCTACGTGGACCGTACGATGTGGCCAATCTGTAATGCAATATTAGTAATTGAGCAAAATATTTTTGTATACAGTTTATTTTGTTACCGTTCTAGGGCTTTTATATTTGGTTTGTCAGAGGATCAAGGGAAGAATGCTGTAAATAAAGCTTGCAGACAGTTATTTCTGCGGGCTGGTAAGTGTGGAATAAAATTTTAGTTAATACCAAAACTCAATACTTATTTTTTTCTTTCAGAGTCTCGACGCATTGGGAAAACAATTATGTTCGTCAAAGCTTCCGGGCCAATCATATTTACAGACACATCGGAAAGTGAAGAGGAGCATGGGGATAGTTTTCGAGAAGAAATCTCTAGTGAGGAATCAGAAATAGATTCCCAAGAACAACCCAGTAAAAAGAAAATAAAAATCTTATAATAATAATAAAATATTGGTGTTTGTTTTAGGAAAAATTTGTAAACGGTAAATTTTTATTACTTTTAGTACAGTGGTAATAAAACTGTCACGTGTTTTTTTGGGGTGTCCAGTGTGTTAGAAAGTAGTTTTTCTAATACCAGAATGTCTGTTTTTCACGTTGTGAATCGATAATGCCAATTAAGTCCAAATATTGAAACCAAGTATGCATTTACATATGCTGCTTCTATGACACCTCTCTGACATATGAACCGAAAGCAAAACGAATATTAAATACTTTTTTTATTGAATACCGTTTGATATCCGCTGGAATTGTGTTAACGTCATAATAAGACATTTCATATAGCCTTGTTTAGACATATACCGAATAAAAATGTTAGGGTTAATTTAAAAAAATTATAATAATTTCAAGTATTCTTATTTATATTTAAAGAATAAGCTATTCATGAAAGGTGAAAAAGTCAACAGGGTTAGTTCAAGACTTGTTCCTAAAAAAAATTATGGAGTCCCTTTCAAAGTAATTGCAAGATAACACATTTACAAATAATTTAAAATTTGAAGAAAGCCATCAGAAAAATCTAGTTATTTACATATTGTTGCGAAAATGCGAGGCGAATGTCAGATGAAAGAGAGAAGCCGATAACTAGTACGTTCTAGAAATGATAAAACAAGAACCTTCCATAGCGAACAATTCGATGCTTCTACGCTTTCGTCTGCGAGCAGCCGACTGCTATATAAAGGCGACACTCAGCTGCAAGTCAAGTTAGTGACAAAGCGAACTGGTTGGCGTTAACATCAGTTAAGTCGTAAAGTGAACGCGTTGGGAATTACATTTAAGTAGAGTAAATTGTGAAAGTTGATGCAAGTGATTGTAGCTAGTAAAGTGTCTTGTAATTGAATTGTGAATCACTGAGTAAATAAAGGACATTAGATAAAATCTTTATTACGAAAGAAACTGCAAATTGAGTTGGCGAGTTTTATTTAACAATCCAGAGATCGTACCCGAAGGATTCGGAAAATAATCGAGGTTGATTTAGTAAAATCGTAACAATATTTATTGTGATGCAAAAATTTTAGTGCGTTTACTTTTGAAATCTTCAAATTTCCTCAACATAGTACTTCTCACAAATCCCCTATTCACAGTGCGATTTGGCATTTTTTGGTTATTTTATGGCAACGCTGTGGATTAAATCGCCGCAATCGCCGTTTTCCGCTGTCATTTCTATCGTCGTCGGCAAAAGGAAAGAATTCTGAAAACAAAATGGAGGTCTTTGATTTGGTGCGTACGTCTCAGTGCTAGTGTGAAAAAATTGTGTAAACGGTATAAAAGTGTGAATTAATTATTATAAGTAGTAAAACTTTGTTTATACATACGCCGGCTATTATTTGCAATAAAAATTTTGTGAAGAAATTGTGTAGTTACTGTAAAAAATGACTTTGAAAATTTTTTGCTACAGTTGAATTGCAGACATTCGGTGAAAATCGAGAATTGGGGAGAAAACGAGTAGAAGAAAAATTTCTGTACTTCGCGTCCACGATAACCAACGAAGGCGATATTGGGTTTTTTCATTTCATTTTCTGCTGTTGGACATTGCTATTTGGTTACGTTTCACCAAAAAGCGACAGCAGTGAATTTTTTTTATCATAAATCTTTTTTATTGATAAATCACTTCTCAGAGTTTGTAATCGCCAGAGTAAATAATGAACATAAACAATAAAGTGCAATAAATATCTGTGATAAAAAAATACATAAAATGAAATAGATAAAAAATGATGCCAAAGAGACAAAATAAGTAAAGAAAAAAAAAAACAAAGAAAAACAGTAAGAAATAAAAACCGCATGCTAAAAGTTCATATTGAACGAAAATTGTGAGAAAATATTCTGAAAAAGTTCTGTGTGACGGAGAAAAACGATTTGATTTCTTCTTTATGATCGCAGTGCTTTGCATAATTGAAATTTGTGGTACTGGACTTTTGCTTGTGCTTGTGTTTGCTTTATGTAAATATTCGTGTATGTATGTTTGAATGCTTGCATTTGACCGTCGTACAGTGCCTGTAGTAGAGCTCCCCATTCGCGACCGCATATCACACCTTACCCCACTGGATTTGATTTCATTCGAGTTTGCTTCGTTTGTCTCCGCGACGGCGAGTGGTTCCGCGAGATGGCAATTGCGATGGCGACGTCAATGACTATGTTTGCGTTTGTATGGTAGAGAAGTTGGAAATTAGTTGAGTGTTTTTTTTTTTAAGTTTTATGTTTCTCCTCTCGCTCGTTTTCACACAATGACACCACTCTTATGATACCACCCCATCGATTATGCTACGACAAATATTTAATATAATAATATATGAAGCTTATAATTTGTAGCTTATTGTAGAAAAAGTGATGAATTAAGAAAATAGTACGATTCTATGTAGATGTTCATATACATATGCTCCGGTTAGAAATGTCAAAGTACGGAGACAAAATGCACAAATGCATGTATGTATGTATACTTTTGGGTTTGCACATCTACGCATTCTAGATACAATTATGGATTTTTATAATGGTTGAGTCTGTTGGTGTGTTTGTCGTTTCATTAATTTTTCATAACCAAGAAAAAATCGTGTATTCGCTAATGTTCGTCGTGTATATGCACTCGTTATAAAGTGCATTCAAACCGATGAACATTTTATATGTATGACTTCTTTTTTGTATTGTCGTAATCGGGAATGTCGCCGAATACAAGATATACATATGCACATATCTATGTAGATATCACATACACACATGTACATATGTATGTGCAAAGACGTAAGCACAAATGTGCATACTTATTTATATATATGCAAGTATATATATATTGTATATTAAAACTCGCTTGCACCTGCTTAATGGTATCCAGCTTTCTCCATGATTAGCTATATTTATTGCCTTTGCGAAATGACTTCTTGCCTTCTAATATTATCTATTTAACATGGTGTATTACTCCGTCTATTTTGTGAAAGTGAATTGGTTAAGGGTTTGTATTATATTTTTGTAAACTTTTTTTGGGGCTTTTTAAAATTCAAAATTTAGTTACTGAGTAATAAAAATAATACAAAAATATAGCATGTTTGCTTATTTTTAATATCGAGTCCTATAAATTCACATTATTTTATTCAAAAATAACTAGTACTTTTGTACAAGCATACATAAGTATGTACATATGTATCTCACATATCAATGTATGTACATATATAATCGCTGTGAAAAGCAGATGCGAAAACCGGAGAGGTAATGTGAGTAAAATGTGGAATAACGTTGCTTGTGACACAAAAATTGCTTTTACTCTACTTTATTCTTCACTTCTTTCACGAATATAAGTACATACCATGCACATACACCTCTCGAATGTGAACATCGATTTTAGCATCTGTACGCATTTTTATTGTATACCGAATATTTGTGCGCGCCACGATGTGACGCTTCTTGTGTAAGTTGATTGTTGAAGATACAAACATACATATTTATATACATACATCGTACTTTCAGCGGCTGATGTATTGCCAGACAAACATACACACACACACACACCCATTTGCATCAGCGAATGAATGTTAATAAGAAATCATATTTTTGTATGTACGAGTATGCACATTCATATGTACATATATGTACATGCAGATGTAAATAGAAATATATCTACCAAATGCTACATACTGGATGTTGACATTGTATTTTTATGGTACCTAAAGAAATTTACATAGAAACTTTGGTGCCCATCAGCGGTACACATATGAATCTGTACAAATGCACTTGTATGTATGCGATTAGATGCTTAATAAATTGTATAAAACATTAATTCGTATCTAAAACTAAATACAATTATAATGGCGTAAAAGCGAGAAAATACCCAGGAGCTGGCACGGACAAGACCACATAGCCGACAATGTACAAAAGCAAATAAACGGCAAGCGACAACACCAAGTAATAACACCAATAACTACTGTCGCGCTTGTGTCGTATATTAGCAAGTAACAATAACAACAATACGCGAAGAGTGTAGAGAAGACGACTTAAAATACTAAGATTACTGGATTTACATAAAATATTAAAATGAAATGAATTGAAGGAGTAATGAGTAAAAGAATCTTAAACTAAACTATGTTTGTATATACATATACATGTATGCTTTTATATATAGGTGTGTATAAGCATAAACATGTATGCTTGTCTAAATACATGACTGCGTACATAGTTTTGTACATCCTTATATACGAAAGGCCGTTATACAAGCTGTGAAAAGATACAAATAAAGGGGAATAGCAAATCTAAAACTGGCTGCGTCAAATACATACATACATATGTACGTTTGTAGATGCCTACCTGTGACAATACTAAATTTGTAGTTTTTTACTAGACTACTATTAGTGGCTGAAAGAAAATAGCGGAATATGTTTTTCTGCTGAAAGCCATTGGGAACGTATACCGGTGACAAACGATTTTTTTTCTTTTAAAAATAGCCTCTAATGTGATCGGTCTGCGGTCCAAATGCCACTAACAGTTAATGATATTAAGAGCTAATTAATTTTTTAAGCATTTTGCAAAAACTAATTCTGAATCGTAAATTCATTAACAACTGTGAAAGATCTGGGTAAAACATATCTCACAGATTTTTTTGACATACTCTCTTATGATACCCTTAGATCCCATGTTGCCCTTGTACACTAACGAATCGCCTTGCATGGATTTAGTATTATGGTTTAAAACGTCTGTCTTCGTGGAATCTTAAATAGCTCATATTAAAAACCAACATTTTATGGTGGGGTGGGTCAGGTTTGCAAGCTCGTCACCGACAAGTAAAAGCCAACACTCCTCAAATGACTGCGAACATCATAAAAATCCAGAGCCGAAACAAAATCCTCAAAACGTTAGACGGCAGCGGAAATCGTTGCTGCCAACTTGTAAGGCAATCTGATGAGGTAGGCAGAAACCATCCCGTGATTGGAGTTTTCGGAGTAAAACCACCACCTATTACAGACGAAGACTCCAGCGTATTAATTGCTCAAATTAGATCTCGATATTGTTGTAGGTTAAACTCGTACTTATCCGGACGTGATCCCGACGTACACAATGTGAGTTCTCGACACTATCCACCTCTTTGCGTGCCCCCAAAAACCAACTACCCTCTAGCAACTCTGATCCCAATTACCCTCTAGCAACTCTGTTGTTGTTCCGGTATGAAGATCCGACTGTCGGGAAGAATTGGATTTTAGTTGCCTATTAGCCCGCAGGGGGTCTCTAGCAACTCTCAAGACATGCGGTTGACCCGAATATTATCCAGCCAAGGGCTGTCACCCTTTCGGCGATTTAATAGCGTTGAGGTCAACAGGTAACTCTCTAGCATGTATAATAGCGATGACATGCCTTTTAAGAGGAATTTCAGTACCCTCGTCCTGGAACCAAGCTATCTATCGAAATCCTATAGTACTCACGCATATTGCAAGCCGGAACATAAGCAGTTAGCACATGTGCTGACTTAACATGAAAAGAAATGTTAAGAATGAAGACCAAGTGGTATGTAGTAACAACAGTCATGTATTAGGCTTCACTCACAGTTTGGGAATGCATCAATCACCAAATATTTGGCCAAATATAACAAAGTTCAGCATAAATGGGTGACAACACACGAAAGACATGCAAAGAAACGAACTAGCAGCGGCAACACTGTCAATAGGGTAAGAATTCATCTTTGCTATGGAGTATCGTGCAATTGAGACAGAGTAAAGATCAGGATATAGAAGAAAGCAAAAACAGAAATCATTAAATCAAAGGGACGGAATGCTTATAGAGTCCCCTCAATGTCTTCAGTCTTGGCACTTCCGGATAGATTCATAGCGTTTTCTAACCGCTAAAGGGATTTTCGTCCGAGGTTCAACTAATGGACCAATAGATTTTTTTAACCCATCTCCGAATGGCTTGATTTTAATAACGAGTTTTTTTTATTTCGCGTCAGAAATATGCTTGCGCGTATTGACATACAGTACCGAGGTACGACGAGAGTTAGAAAAATTGTTATTGGTAAATGTGAATGTTTTTCTGGGTCCTTAATAAATTAATCCTTTTTTCGGAGTTTCGACTGTTTTCGTTGGTACAAGGTATGTATGTAGTCGTGGTGTGACAATTAATCAATGAAATAAAAACAGTATATTTCAATATTATTCTACAACTCTACCATCTCCTTCAAAGTAGTTCCCTTGGGCAGCTATACAACGATTCCAGCGCATTTTCCATGCTTCGTAACATTTCTGGAACGCTTATACTTGGATGCCCGCGAGTACTCTCGTCCCGGCCGCCTGGTTGTCTCCAATCGACTCAAAATCGGTTCCTTTGACCTCAGATTTTATTCTAGCGAACAAAAAAAAGTCACATGGCGAATAAAGCGGTTGTTGCAACACGGCGAACTTTTTAGAGCCCAAATACTGGGACACGCTGAGAGCGGTGTGGCACGGCGGGTTGTCGTAATAAGAATCCAGTTTCGAGCGGTGTCTGTGCGCACCCTGTTGACTTGTTTTCGCAATCTTTCGAGTACTTGGCGATAGTATACGGGTTTGCCCCGGTGGAAGAAATTCTTCGTGGACGATTCCAATAATCGTTTCTTCCATTTTCGTGGCGAACACCACGAACACACGTTTACTCAACACGACACAGCAGTCGAACTAAGCAAACTAGAACGGTGGCAAATATATCAATGGTTAGGAGAAGGATGCCGGGAGAAGGGAATTTCAAGATCGCATGGTTACCACAATCGCGGCAATATAATCAGTCTTCCTTCCTTAATTTTCACAACTCGTATTGTTGTAGTCGCTGTTATATTTTAAATCCTGGTTGGGGAAGGAATTTCGAGTCGTTAAAAGATGTATATTTCGACAACACTTCATTGTTTGTATTTTTAAGCTGGTTCCTCTATATTCTGTGCTGTTTTTAGAAGTTTTTGATATTTTTTTTACCTGTGCCTGTGAATATTTGTTCCAACATGAAGTGTGTGTCTGCTTGCAACTAGTTATAGGTTGCAGTGAATTAAAATTGTACATTCATCGGAAAGAATCCCATTTAATAAAAAAAAGCTTCTACTCTAACTCTTCAAATGGAGACACTTGTCGAACATAATGCCATTGCTAATAAACAGACTAGTGCTAACCGATATTGAAGTGACTTTATCTTGAGAAATATACGAAACAAGATTTTTTTTTTGTGAAATATTTTTTTGTTTTATAAAAGACATGATCATCATATTTGAAGTGTTGTTTGTTTGATAAAACATATTTAGCTCGATACTTGTCAAGGAAGTGAAGCGAGCGAAGTAATAATGGCCGATGCTGTATGAGACAATAAAGACAGGTAAGTTTAATTTAAAGATTTGTATTTTGATAAATTCAGATGTGTATCTATGGGATACATAGCCTACCATGTATGCATATATATACATTTGTATCAATATACATACATATATAGTACATAGACTTAAATAAATAATATTTGCATATATCTGCACATACATACATTTTAGCATGTACATATATATACATATGTACATATATGTATATATATATATGTATTTACACATGTATGTATTTTAATAACGCGTCGATTTAAGAGGTATGCGTGTACAGTTTTCATACATTCGCTATCGGCAAACCTGCAATTACGGTTTGCTTAGGCGAATCGTGAAATTTCGAGAAATTTACGACAATGGTCAGGCAGAAGTTGCTTTTTAGAAATAATTATGTATCTTTAACTGTAGCACACGTATTAATGAAAGCAACAACAAAAGCAACAAAGGCGCAAGAAAAAAAAATCAACATCAACATCGTCGAAAACGACGACGATGAATATACATACATACATACATATATACATATAACATCAAGCGCAAGCGAGAAACGATGGTGGCAAAACAGCCACAGCAGCAGCAGCAGCCAAAACAAAAACAATAAAAGCAACAAAGCCAAGAAGGCAGTAATGCCAAAGCGCACAGATACATACATTCGCAAACGCACATATACACATACAAACAACTATGGTCACACTTAGCTATAGATATGTATATA